CCACTCCTCGTGCTAAGGGTCTTGCCTTGGCGTGGGGAGTTCGCAAGGTGGCAGGTGGATTTGTCCCGTACTTTGAATCTCGGTTGACTGATAGCGCGAGGTGTGTTGTTAGGGTTAGTTTCTTCGAGCGCCCAGAAGACGGAAGATGTGCCGACCTGCTTATAAATGCTGCCAGACGTGATAGCGCGCGCTTTATTTTAAAATCAAAAAGAGGCGCCGCTGGGAGACGTGACAGCAGGCGTCCTTTCAAATTTTGAAAACATGCCGCTGCCGCTTTTAATGTGAGGAGACGTGCGCTATCGTTCTGTCAGTTTCAGAAAGACGTGCGCCGGCGCTCTGTCAGTTTCAGAAAGACGTGCGCCGGCGTTCTGTCAGTTTCAAAAAGACATGCGCCAATCACGTCTCGGTCTCAGGGGACGTGCGGTCAGCGCGACTACGGGCCGTTGGATTGGCTTTGATCTGTGCCGCTGCTTCTTGGTCACTATGGGTATAAATAGTGGGGGACCCCAGTCGCTTTCACTTCTGTGCTGCCTCTTGAGCTCGCGTCCAAGTTTCAGCTCGAGGAAGAGTTCGAACCTGTAGGTCGAGTCGCCTCGAATAGTTTGGCGTCCACCTCTCGTCGGGGTCGGACATTAGACAAGTTTGGCCCCTCAACCATGACGCCTGAGGGACTCCAATCCCTTATTACCTATTACAATTTGCCTGGGGAGTACGCTTATTTTATACCTTCGGGTAGCTTTCCTTGGGAACACGGTCCTGATGAGATCGTGATATTCCGTGAGCAGTTCRYTGCRGGGCTGCGATTGCCTTYCCAYCCCCTCTTTGTCGAGGTTTTRAATCACTTCGGCGTTACGRTYGGCYARCTTCACCCGAACTCCATTCGTAATTTGGTGGGGACAATCTCCCTATTTAGCGAACATGGCTTTCCTTTAGACTTGGAGATCTTCTCTTCCATCTTAATGCTTAAGAAGCAAGCGGGTCTCCTCCCCGGGCGTAGGCGGGCATATTACCTGTCTCCTCGCCCGGGTTTCAAGCTTTTACACGATCTTCCTAACAAAGTCCCAGCGTGGAAGCGGAACTACTCTGGGGTGCGAAGTGTGCTAGGGTGGCCGTTTCAGACCGGGTGGGGGTGGCCGCCCCTGACTCCGGTGTTACGCTTGACAAAGAGACGGTGAAGGGCCTCCGGCAATGGGCACGGCTTGGGCTAAAGTGCCAACAGTATCTAACGGAGGCCAAGCTCATTGCGGCTAGCCTGAGTTCGGGTAGGTTCCTTACTTGGAGGTCCTATTTTGCTCTGTCTGGCTTTTTCCTGATGCCGAACTCTTTTTTTGCAGGTGTGATGGACTCAGGAGGGACTCGTGGTGGGCGCTTGTTTCAAGGCATGAAAAGGAGGAAGCAAGTTGCCAAGCGAACTCGCGCCGAGCTGCCCTAGGATGCGGAGCCCGAGATGGCTCCTCCAATGCAAGAAGCGACAGGGGGCCCGTATGTTGAGACTACTTACACGGGGGCTCCCACCTACTTTGGTGCTCCTGCTTACTCTGGGTCTGCTCATACGCGAGTTGGGCCCTCGGGCTCGGGGGCCCCGGGGGAATTCAGGAGTGTGCTGTTGCCGACCTACGCTCTTCAGAAGAGTAAGGAGGCCATCTTCCCCGAGGAGGTCGCGGCGTGGACTGATCTCCCTCTGCACCAGGTGGCCTGCCGTGCCGTTACTCATGCCATGGTGGTAAGTCAGACTTTTTATCGAGCTCTTTTGCTTTTATCCTTCTTGTCGTGCTGTTACTCACTCGTTCTTTTTTGGTAGGTGAACTCTTCTATTCACGCCTTGGTGGCCCAGGTGGAAAGGAGCTCGAGGCAGGCGCGAGCTGCTGAAGAGGCTCTTCGTGCTGTTGAGACGACTTCCCAAGCTGCTGAGGCGGCTTCCCGAGCTGCTGAGGCGGCTACTCGGGCTGCAGAGGCCAGGCAGGCGAGGTCTCAGAGAGATGCCGAGGCCATGGGAGTCTCAGAGAGATGCCGGACCTGAGGCTGGATTTGCAACATCAGGTCGGATACCTTCAGGAGGACATTAGGGAGAGGACGCAGATCTTTTTGCAAGGTATTGAAGATGCCAAGAAAATGGCTGTCGATGAGTACATCGCCTCGCCGAGCCTTGACGACCTAATGGTGGATTCGTACCGAAGGGGTTTCAAGCTAAGCCGGTGGATGATCCGGAATACATACCCCGAGCTCGATATTAGTGCCATATCYACTTCGCGCATAACTCAGGAGATGGCCAATGCTGCTGATGGTGAGCCAGACTCCGAGGGCAAGGCAGGGCCTTCGAGTAGCGTTGAAGTGCTTT